CAGGTGCGGGCGGCGCCGAGCCCCGAGCGCTGCCCTCGGGCCGCGGCGGGGACGTGCGGGGGACAGCGCGATCCAAAGGTCACGGCGCTCCCGCTGCCTGCGGGAAAGTAGCGGGTACTTGGAAAGAAATATTGCCCCGCTTTATGAAATCACCGCTCCCCGAGGTCCTGGTCCCGGGCCTCTCCAAGTCCACAGGAGTGTTGGAATACGTTGATACCATTTTCATTCAACATCGCGATTTTTTTTTTTTTTTTTAATATACATCGCGTTTGGAGTCACTAGAGATTGTCCGCGTGGAAATCTGCATCTGTCTCTCTCTTCTCTATAATCTTGTATCTGCGTGTGCTGCTTTGTAGGGATCTCTCTGATGTGCACACAAGCTGCATATGCTGTAGTTTTAAACATAGAACACTTTGTCTTTTATATTTCCTGTAAGCATAAAAATAAGCTTAATCAAATTCTTTTCTCCTTACTTTGCTGGTTAAAAAAATGCATTTATGCTCTAACATGTTAGAAGTAAGGCAGTTGTGCCAAATGCCAGCAAAGGGAAGGGAGGGAAGCACACAACCCACAGAAACAGGCAAATCTATGTTTTTATTGGAAAAGGGACACATGCTGCCCAGTGCCTGGAGGAAGCAGGGTGCACACTAACAGAGCAATTTCATTTTCTCTCTTCCCAACCTCATAAACAAATGAAAATTATTGCAGTGGACTAAAACAGTTCTGAACCCAGCCATCATCATTAATGTTAGAATGCTTTTAGCTGAATACGGCCTCACGCTGGAACAAGCAGGCTTCATACATTTTTGTCTTTCACATATCGTGGACTAACATTGAAACCTCCAGTCCTGTTCATCACAGTGGAGTGTGAGGGTCAGAAGTTCAGAACAGTTTAAAGCTGAATTATTTACCACGTGCACACACGACACACTCTTCTGATTTCCACGCTGTTTTTTCTCCCCCCTTGGTTTTCTCCCTTTTGAACAGGAGAGCCCTGCCCAGTGTTATTTGCCCTGGTGGAGCATTATTTGCCCAGCATATATGGTTGGCCCAGAATCTGATGATGAGAAGAAGTCTCAATGGGACTGTTGACCTAACAAGTAGCATGTCAGTCTCCTGGTGGCATTTGAATGTTCTCGCAGCGAAGCTTTGAGACAGGAGAGAGCATAAAGCAGAGATTCTTTGGAATCCTTAATTAGACACAGTCATTTTGGAGTACTGGCTTCTGCTGCTATCCTCCAGTGCCTAGTACTTTGTTTTGTGACCTTGAGGTTAAGGATACCAACCAGCCCTGTTTATTTTTTAATAAAATCTTACAGTTATGTGAGACAGTTCTAGGTTTTATTTATTTTTAGCATAAGTGCTTCCATCTTATCTGCCTCACAGGTTTATAGTAAGGATTTAGCTAATATTTGGACAGCACTTTTAAGCTATGAAGCTCTATATGTCTATTATACTGACCATTTTCTGCATTTTCATTTTAGGAAGGTGCTTCTGTACTCTCACTTCTGGAAGATAGAGTTCAAATCTTGACTTTAGTTTTCCCATCAAATTTTGTCAAATACCTGATTTACAAATGCTGACACAGGGTCAGATTCTGCATTCAGTTACAGGTAATGAATTTCAGAGAATTTCTTGATCCTCAGTGACTTTGCTCTAAATCTAAACCAGTTCGACTCAGAAGTAGCATCACAATTTCATATTCATGAAGAATAAGCATTTGATTACATTGAATATACCATTATACTTTAATTTTCTTGCTCCAATTTTATTTTAGTAACTTCAGTAATTTGAGAAGAAACTGCTTCATTTTATATTTTTTTAATTCCTTTTTTCTCTGTTCTGATTCTGAGAAAAAAGCTGGAGAGTTTTGTAGAGAAGGTCAGGGGACTGAAAAGTTATTGGGGGCATTCTGCTCCTGATGAAGTGAAGCAACAGTCTGCAAGTTTTTTTTAAAATTAAAATGAATACCTGGATCTGGAGAAATTCCCCATGCTTGGCATGCTGTTCCTGGCACTGGAAAAGATCCACTGCCGCTCCCATCCTTTCTCAGCATTTGGGAAATCCTGTCCCTACTCTTACATAGTTTGAGTTTTAAGGGAAGCAAACCTTTGTCCACATAATAATGCTGAAAATAAGGATCTTTGCAATGCTAATGAAACAAAATGTCTATTTCCAGAAACACAGATATTCTGGGGTGAGGGGTTTATTTGGATGGCGCTGTGGTTTTTTTTTAATAGAATCTGTTACAGGGTTGTGCTTGACAGGCTGAGGATTATTTGAAAGAATCCCAATTTTGGATTAGGCAGCTGATAGCCTGCAAGACTTTGGTGGCTGGTAAATCTTGCTCCTCTGAAAGAAGAGATTTCCTCTTTTAGCAATAGATCATTATGTTACAAGGCGTGTATTAGAATGAGAATAATACAACTTCCCCTGTCTTTGCTGATCATATCAAAACTAATGGCATCTTGAATTGTCAGAGCATCAAGTCCATCTTCTGATAAAATATTGGAAGACACACACAGATCTATTCATCTTATTGGAGATTTCATTTTAGTCTGAAAAATATTTGATGACAATGCCATTAGATTGTGGGCATGTATCACAGGGACCAGCATAGTAGTTGAGGAGTAGGATTTTGCAAAGGGGTGCCTATAAATATTTCTTACTTTGTGGTAAAACCTATCCCCTAGGTTTGTACAAGCTTAAGGAAGTGAAATTATTATTTCTTTTAAGGGATTCAAAATATAATTTTTTAGATTGCTACTAGAGAATTCTTTTTTTTTTTTTTTTTTTTTTTTTTTAATGCAGGTTAAGCCATTTCAAAGGTAATGAAATTTCATCTCTGAATGTGTAGCCTGAGATTTTTCTAAGGCATAGCCAAAGAGGAATATCTGCTACCCAGACCTTAACTGGAAGGTTTCACTTCTGCTTTCAGCTAATGAAGATCTCCTTAATTATAGGTTTACGACATAGATTCTAATGTCAATGCATTAATTTTCTGCTGTCTGAAAATGTTAATAGATCTGGTAGAATATCTAGAAAATACGGTAGTAGATATTTTGTATATTCACAGGGTTTAGGGGTTCTGAAAAAGTCAGTGGAGATTTGAAAGATATTTTAGGGGTTTTTTTCAATCATCTATTTTTATTTATTTGATGTATAAAGACTGTTTGCTTCTGCTTTAGCATTCATATATACATATCTGTTACAATTATCTTTAGCATTTAACAGAAAGATAATGCCCAAAGGAAGCAGGAAACGGCATTTAAAGTAATTTTTATCTGTGCAGCTTGAGTTAATTGCCAAAATATGAATTTAAGATGGATTAAAACTACTAACCTGTGGAATTTATTGAAAAAAGAGTTGACTTCAATGGGCACACCATGTTAAATGAAATACCTCCTTCCCTGAGCAAATCTTTTGTCTTTGGCTGAGCAACCAAAGCTGCTCTCAGGGGTGGGAAGTCAGAGGTGGCAGGTACAATGTCCTGTCACCGGGAGTGCTTAGAAAAGGATTCTGTCCTTCATACCTCCCAAATCATGCCCACCTCCATGTCATTTACAGGGTAGTCATCAAGGCAGGCAACTATTGTGAAAAGAATCAACCTTCAGACAAGACGAGGAGTGTCAGATCATCACTGTTTGGTTGATAACCTACTGAGGGAAATGATTGTACCAAGAGATGAGGAAGTTATGTGGTCATCCCCCTAAGAGCTGACCATATACCTGTATCTTTTTCACAAGGGGATTATATTCTAACTCCTCAACTCTACATATTCTTGATTTCCTCAGGCATTTGGCTCTTTAACCTGACCACAAACTGTTTGCAGACACACACACGTCTCTGCAGGCAGAGGTTATGAAGTCATTTGCTTGGAATTGGTGAAATAAAGATTTGTGTGATTTTAGGTGTATGAGCCAAAACGTCCTTGTCCCTGACTTGTCAAGGGAATGAGAAGAGTCTGATCCTCTAAGAGCAAGCAGTATATTGAGTTGATTTCTCTTAGCCATGACAGAACCATTTGCTAAAACTTCCCCCAGAAGAGAGAAGTGGGTTCTGCTGGAGTTGTGATTGTGATTTCTGATGGGCAGTAATAAAAGTAAGATCTATTTCACTATACTGGCAGAGTCTAGAGCACTGTCTTGAATTATTTGAAAATCTCTAATGGTTAGGGATAGCAAAAGTCAGGTTTTTGTTGGACTTCTTGAAAGTTTATGAAGGTTCTGTTTAACAACTTTATTTCCAGTCACCTCTAGTCCCACTCAGTCACATGGAAAGGCATTTTCATTGCCATTGAAGTCATTGCATCAGCTGCTTGAGTTTCATCAGAGTAACTCCACTACACTGGTTTATGAAGGAGGATGTGGGAGGAATTGGACTTTCAAGGTGATTTTAGAGGGAGCTGTGTTGTTTGATTTGTTTGTCTAAAACAGTAACAATATGTTTCCACCTATTCCTCATAATTATACAGGGAGAACTAAAATACATGCCATTTTGAACTGAATGTCTGTATTAAATTAGTTTGACTTCTATTTTTCTACCATCTGTGGCATAACTAGAACAGAGAGTGAGAACAAAAAAATATAAATGACTCAGTCACATTTCCTTTAGGAGAGGCATCATGCCCCCCATTCTTGTCAATTCCAACTCAGAATATTCTGTGATTCTGGTAATTTTAATTGTAAATAATTCATTTCAGCTCTGAATGAAGCAGTGGTATGACACCCTGGGCACAGAGAAGAGATGTTCTATCATTTAATAGAGGGACCAAAATAAATGCTATAATATTTTGGTTCAACTTATACACATGATTTTTCTGTATATTTAGATGGCCTCCC